GTATTGAGTCTTTCTCAGGTTACACGCTATGTGTAGACAAACTGTCTCTGCATGTTCTATTTGTGAGGTAACTCCTCTTACAAATGATAAAGTCAATTTTTCTTCTAAATTATTTAAAATGTTGATACTTGCAGAAAGTTCCCGAACCCTGACAGTATATATTACCAAGCCAAAGCTATCAGGGAGGAATTTTGTATTCTAAACCACCTCACGGAGCTTCACCTCGTTTTCTTCATGAAGAAAACATCTTCAACATCCCATCTCATTGAATTGTTTTGGAAATGTTTGAGAATCGTTTTCTTTTCATTTGAAAGGAAATAGTACCAGATGAAATTAGAGATTACTATAGTAACCAAAAAAAGGATTTCTCTTCCACCTTATCCCTTATGTTTATTCTTCGCAGTTAGCCTTCGCTACAACACCTTTACTGGCTAGATTTTCTAAATCGAAAGCAATTTCTAGCTTAACTGTAGCTAGCAACACGAATTGCTCTAAAGTTTTAATCCAAATAAATATATACATGTCATTGATCTTGCATTGCATACTGAGCATGACCTCGTAAAGTACATCGCTACAAAAGCACCTGCGTAGGTGAAGCAGGGCAGGCAACCGCTATCATCTTTTGCACCGTAGGGGTCCAGAGATCTGAATTAAAATACTTTTATGCTTGTTTGTCTTCCTTTATTATGAAAGTAATGCTACAGGCGAGGCAAATTTTCCAATTGCAAAGCAAGCTCTGAAAGAATGAACAGTGGGTTTGTTTCTGATAAGTTTTCTCTTTTCGTCCATTTTTCCCCTACGCGTTCCTTGCTATTCCTTGTGTGTGTGTGTGTGTGATAGCCACTGAAGAAACTCGCCTAAACAAAAACAAATGTGGCGACATCACTGTTCCGTTTGCTTCGAAAACTATTTGAAAAAACAATTTTTTTTTTTATAACTCTCTTGGCCTCCCTTCAATTGCTCAATAACCACCAATAAGCGAGCGAAGGAACATCCCGAAAACGATTTAATGCGCGTAATTTCAACTGAGCGGATTTTTGCTCAGTGGAGAAATTAATTTGAGTGTCGAGAGTCATCTACAATGGTATTTTTCTGTATTAATTTGTTATAGGACTGGTCCGGAAAAATATCACGCCACATTCTCAACCAGTTCGCAGGAAATTAAACCAAACCGCCAATAGAATGTATTGTGCAAACAAGAAGACAACAAGCTGCATTCAAGATGGCGTTTGCACCCTACTTGTAATTCGTATGATATTTTCAAAAACCGAGCGCTAGTCCCTTTTGTTCCAAACTAGCCGATGATAACGTGTCTTCTGATTGACTCGTCTTTGTTTTCTTATCCATCTTTTGCCGGTTTGACGCCTAAGCGTCATACTAACGGTTCATATTTACTTAGCGTGTGGTTCGGTGTGTCTGCCTTTGAAATGTGCATTTTCTGATCGTACGAAAAGAGTATTAAAGTGCAAAATGATTTTATTTGGGAATTTTCTTCGGTAAATGTCCACAGAGTATTTGACCAAAAGAGGTACAAATCATGTTTAACTAGTTCCCAATGACCAGTACATCCTTCCCTGA